ACCGGGTGGCCCTTAGCAAAGGGCCCCGGACCCCGTACTCCCGGCGCACCCCCCACAGGGCGCTGCGAGGGACACGGTCGAATGCCTTCTCCAGATCCACGCAGCACATGTGGACTGGTTGGGCAAACTCCCATGAACCCTCCGCCACCCTGAAGAGGGTATAGAGCTGGTCCAGTGTTCCACGGCCAGGACGAAAACCGCATTGTTCCTCCTGAATCCGAGGTTCGACTATCGGTCGAATTCTCCTCTCCAGTACCCTGGCATAGACTTTCCCGGGGAGGCTGAGGAGTGTGATCCCCCTATAGTTGGAACACACCCTCCGGTCCCCCTTCTTAAAAAGAGGGACCACCACCCCGGTCTGCCAGTCCAGAGGCACTGTCCCCGACCGCCATGCGACGTTGCAGAGGCGTGTCAACCAAGACAGCCCAACAACATCCAGAGACTTGAGGTACTCAGGGCGGATCTCATCCACCCCCGGTGCCTTGCCACCGAGAAGCTTCTTGACTACCTCAGTGACTTCAGCTTGGGTGATGGACGAGTCCACCTCTGAGCCCTCAGCCTCTGCTTCCTCATCGGAAGACATGGCGCCGGGATTGAGGAGATCCTCGAATTATTCCTTCCACCGTCCGACAATGACAGATTGCAACCACTTGAGTATATATATTACTTGTTGTGTCTGTGGATACTGACAGTGCCCAATATAGACCTCTCTGACATCAAAATGTTGTTCCATCAATATCAATCTATCATTGCCATAGTATTTATATTTCTTTTTGCTGAGGTCATTTATTAATGGAAAAATGCTAAATGTTCACAGTTTCTACTTCTACAACTGTGAGGAATTTTCTGCTGTTTTTGTTTTACTGTATATGCTACTGAATATGCTGATTATACAACATTTTTAACAGATTAATATGCAATGACAAAATTGTTTCTTGCAGCTCTACTAGAGAATAAGTTATTGAGTATTAATATGCAGGAAAATGTAAATGAGTGAAAGAGGGGAAGATTTTGGACACAGTTTGTATTTTTTTTCCATCCTGGTCATATATCTGGAGTTTTACTCCAGCAGCCTGCAGTGGTGCCACAAATCTGACCAAATAGGACTGGACACATAAACTCAGTCATTCTTGCCCCAAGCTACCACAGCCACACTTCACTCTCAACCTGCTGCTTCCCTCATGAACCTCTTTACACTCCGCATCACTGATGACTTGCCACTGTGATAACGGCAGTGTTTTAAAGGTCACTAGGGAGGACTGATAGAGTTGTTTCTTATTTCTATGGCAGTGGACGGATGCTGAGCCTGGAGGATGGAACGTCCTCTGGTAGTGGACAGGAAGTGGAGGGGACGAAAAGGGAGGGACCCAGCGAGTATGAGATCACCCTGGAAAATAAAAACAAGCAGGTATATGTTTTCAAGTGTCTGTGGGCACATAAGTACATGGTGGGATGGAACGATTGCTGACTCCAATACCTGCAGAAAGGATGATCATTTGAAACTGTCCTGCATGACAACAAAGATTCCTCATTTGGATTTATTTCTCTCTTTGTTAGCATGAAAAAGAGCACCAACTACTCCACTGCTACAGTGACAGGAGCCCAAAAGATGCTAGGTTGTCATGGTAACAGCTTGTAACTAATTCTGGTGGCTGGAGATGTCTTTATTTCTCATAGCAAACTGCTGAAGGGTCTGCTGCTATTGCTGTTGCCATTTATATGAGCTAGTATCTGTGCGTGGATGCATGTGGGCGTGCTTGAGTTAGCAGATTCTGACACCCAGACACGTGTGGCTGTCCCCCTTTTTCTCCCTCTCTGTTTCCCCTTCCCTTGCCTCCTACGCCCCCTCCTCTCTCTCTTTTTCTGAAAATATAGCAGGGCAAAGTTCCAGAGAATGCAGAGATTTTGTGCCGAGCTGGTCTCTACCAACAAATGGGACAGATAGGCTTCTGCGGGTGTTTACTCCTCTATTCATTTTCTCAACAGCACCTTTGTCATAAGACATCCATCCTCCTTCCCAAGGCCCTTTAGCCAGTATTAGCAATTGAATGATGATAGATGATGTTTACTTTGGCTCTAATACCATAAACTCTCACAGTTTTTAACAGAGCAGACAGTAAGTAAGAAGGATACTTCTAAGAAGGGTGTGAGCGTGAATTTCATGAATCAGGAAATTCTGAAATTCTTTTATCTTTTGCAAACATGGGCACAAAATGGCAATATGATATTTACCTACCAGTGAATGAATAAATATTTTTTTAGTAGTTGCTGTGTGCTTTGCAATATCACTCCTTCCATGTCTTCAGCTTCGGAGCCTGGTAAACATGTTTGATATTTAACCTCACTCCTTCTCACTGTCTTCCTCTCCCCAGATAGAAGAGCTGGAGCAGAAGTATGGAGGCCATCTCATAGCGAGGCGGGCAGCCCGCCGTATCCAGACGGCTTTCCGCCAGTATCAGCTCAGCAAAAACTTCCAAAAGATACGGAACTCGCTGTCAGAGAGCAAGTTGCCTCGTCGGATATCCCTGCGTCATCCCAGCCCTTCAGACCGAAACCGGAGCACAGCCCAGAGGCACAGTTATACTCTGCATCCAGGAGGAGGACAGATACCCTTACGCTCCAAAACACCGCCTCCTCCACCGTGCCGCTCCACCTCTCTGCCCTCTTCTCCAGCGTCTGTGTCAGCAGCTGCTGCCTCTCCAGACCTGACAACAGCCCCATCTCAAACCCCTGGACCCACACTCACACAGCTGGAGGATTGCTTCTCAGAACAAGTGAGTTTTTATTTTATGTTACAGCTCCCATAAGCCGTATTCTTAGAAGTGATGCATGATTGTGCAGAAAAACTCAATCAAGACATCAAGTTTCATTAATGTCATATAGTTCTTAGCCGTTCTAGCAGCATGGTTCTAAGGATGACAATGTCACTCAGTTGGTCCACCACAGACATGGTACCCTCAGGAGATTTACATAAATTTTAGTGATCTTTTCTTTTAGTGCCATCATCAAAATTTCAAATCTACCTTAACCTAAACACTCAGCAGCTTATCCTTGCTTTATATCCATATTTTATCTACCTAAGGTAATCAACATTGACTGATAACTCTGGCTTAGGAAGTTTTATCTGAATGTAGTCTAGCTCCACTAGCTTTACAAGTTAATTAGCAACCCTGCTGGTCGTTAGTTATAAAGTTTAATGTTTAATCTTCTTTTTTGCAGCTGCACTCCTTGGCCCAGTCAATAGATGAGGCCCTTCGTGGTTGGAGCTTGTCAGAGGGTGGCGAGGGGAAGGGGCTACTGATGGACCCTGGTGCCCTTCGTGCAGCGGCTGAGAGTGCTGGTCTGCCTCGCAGTGCCAGCTCACTGCTCATGGCCTTCAGGGATGTCACTGTTCACATTGACAGCAACAGCTCCTACACCATCTCCACTGCCACCACCACTACCACCACCTCTCTGGGCAATGCAGGCAGAGGAGAGCCGGGCAGCAGGAAGGCTTCTGTAAGTGGGATGGCTGGGGGAGGAGATGGACAGTCAGTGGAGGAGCCAGAGTTTCCTGCACCTCCTCCCAGTGAGGAGCTAGAAATGGTAGATCCAGGATCCAGGAGGGGCTCTGGAGTGCCATCTCTAGGAGGAGGAAGAATGGAGGGGGAGAGCAGCGCAGACAGACTGGGGCCCATCTCCACTTCTACCTCTACTTCCACCTTAACCCAGTCTAACCAGCAGCCTGCTCAAATTTACACTCAGTACCAGCAGTACCGCTACACTCATCCTCAGCAGATTCCTGGGGGGCCAAGTCCTGAGTCTGTGCAGGCCCTGGTTGTCTCTCTGCCAAGGGACCGCTGCCAGGATCCAGTCTCTTGTCGCTCGCCAACCCTGTCCACAGACACACACCGTAAACGCCTTTACCGTATAGGACTCAACCTTTTCAATGTGTGAGTGGGCTGGCAGCACACACACACACACTGTCACACACAGAAAAGTTTTTAAAAAGTTGCACCCTGTGGCTCACAGTTCAAAGTACATTTATTACTATTTGTGTCTAACAAATCTCCAACGACCCAGCAAACTGCTATAAGCAGATGTTCATTAGTATGTGTGATTGTTGGGAGGAGCTGGCTTTTCAGTGCCATCTTGTGATGTTGTGATGTCCATAAAAAAAGAGTTAGAGAGGGGGGCAGTTGATGAAATGAGGAAGAGTGAAGGAAAGATAGGGAAGAGGGAAGATACAGATGATGAGGAGTCAAGATGGTCATGAACAATGTGAGAGCCTCTCTTTTTCTATAAATAGAGTCCATGCTTGCCCTGCACTTATTATTATTGTAGTTAATACAAATGGAAGTAAATGAGCTCATATGCATCAGTGACAGTCTGACCCAGAAGCC